TGACCTGAGGCTTTGCATGAGTCAGTATTCTAGCTTCAGTGGACAATAAAGTACAGAGGACATGCAGAATAGTGCTGTTACAGTAATTATAAACCAGAACAAGTAACCAGGTCTGATATATGAAATACTTTTCCAAAAACTCACGGTGGCTCTGTGGGTGGCACAATCACCTCACAGCAAGAAGGTCACTGGTTTGAGCCTTGGCTGGGTCAGCTGGCATTTCTGTGTGTAGTTTGCATACTCTCCCCGTGTTTGTGTGGGTTTCCTTCAGGTGCTCCAGTACCCCCTCCCCATTCCACTGTGGTGACCCCAGATTAATAAAGGGACTAAGCCGAAAAGAAAATTAATGAGTGAATATCAAAATTTAGTAATGGGGTGGCACGGTGGCTCAGTGGTTAGCACTGTCGCCTCACAGCTAGAAGGTCTTGTTCGAGCCCTGGGTGGGTGGGTTGGCGCTTCTGTGTGGAGGCATTTACTCCGGGTGCTCCGGTTTCCCCCACAGTTAAACGACATGTGCTATAGGTCAATCGGATGAACATAGTATAATTGTATCGTAATACAACCTACTGGGTCCAATTGACTTGATTAAAGCTAATGCATGTTCTTTTTTTAACATTACAACTCTTTCAACGTATTATGTTTTTATTTATTTTATTGGCTGAACAATGCAAAGTAGATACAATTCCTCGTATTCACAAGCTTAAAAGACTTGCCTGGTCAATATGTTAATGAAGTCTCATTCATACATTCATTTTCTTTTCAGCTTAGTCCCTTTAATAATCTGGGGTTGCCACAGCGGAATGAACCGCCAACTATTCCAGCATATATTTTAAGCAGCGGATGCCCTTCCAGCAGCAACCCAGTACTGGGAAACATCCATTCACACACATACACTATGGCCATTTTTGCTTACCTAATTCACCTGTACCACATGTTTTTAGACTGTGGGGGAGGAAACTCAGACGAACAACATGCAAACTGCACACAAAAATGCCAGCTGACCCAGCTGAGGCTCGAACCAGCAACCTTCTTGCTGTGAGACGATCGTGCTACCTACTGTGCCACTGTGACGCCCATATTATTAAAGCCTATTACAGAAATATTCATTCATTTTCTTGTCGGCTTAGTCCCTTTATTAATCCAGGGTCGCCACAGCGGAATGAACCGCCAACATATCCAGCATATGTTTTACAACCAGCTGCAACCCAGTACTGGGAAAATATTAATATTAATAAAAATATCAATAAAATATGTGTTATTCAAATAAATCATGCTAAAAGTCTTAATTACAATAATGTAATAATTAAAATAAACAAATAAATACGATTTAAATTAAAATGAGGGATGTTTGAAATGTAAACAGCGACATAAAGATAGTGCTATAATATTCATTAATTTTCCTTCTGCTTAGTCCCTTTATTCATCAGGGGTTGCCACAGAGGAATGAACCGCTAACTTATCCAGCATGTGTTTTACACAGTGGATGCACTTCCAACTGCAACCCAGTACTTGGAAACAGCCATACACACTCATTCACACACATACACTACGGCCAATTTAGTTTATTTAATTTTGTAGCGCATGTCTTTGGACTTGTGGAAAATATTTGTGATCCTTAAAGTTTATATTATGTTTTGCATACTAATGAAGCATTTTTGCAGAAGTAGATAGAGCTGATAGGGATGATTTGTCTAAATTTGGACTTGAACTGGGCAGCTAAACTTCTTGTCAGCAGTATTTTTTTTTTAACACAGAATATGTGCAGTTGAGAAAGCCTTAGACTTTTTAATGTTGTGAAGAGAATTTGTGGAGAATAAGGACCTATGTCTGGGGTGCAGCCAATGGAGGACTGGACAATGATTGATAAGTGTTGAAATCCTCTAAACTCCACCTGTTAATATCAGCTGCCTATATAAGATGAAGTGAGGAATTGAAATGTGTTGCGCACCTCCTGAATGTAACTTTTGCATTGCTTTGAGGATAACAGAATCCTGTGAATCGAATTATTCATTTCGTCACCTTAGAATTATACGGTTCTATCTGATATTTTTGTCAAAATTGAGTTATTGACATATTCTTATTAAATGACTACTTATTTACATTATGGGATGTTTTTTTATTTTGCTTACATTTCAAGACTTTTTATTTTAAAAATAAATGTTACACACGTACTGTTTGCCATATGGGAATGCAAAAACTTTGAAGCTCAATATCTCAAAATTATTCAGAACGCAGATAAAACCTTATAATTCCAAGGTGACGATTTGTATCAAAAAAATTATGATTTTTGACATTGAAGGAAAACCTCTCACCTTTTTTATTGAACACGCATGGAATTGATTGAATATTCCAACACTCGGGGAAACATGCAAACTCCACACAGAAATGCCAACTGACCCAGCTGGGGCTTGAACCAGTGACTTTCTTGCTGTGGAGTGACAGTGCTAACCACTGAGCCACCGTGCTGCCCCAATATAAATACATCTAAATAAAATGTGTAATTCAAATAAATTATGCAAAATGTTTTAGTTTTGCAATTAAAATTATTAACAAATAAATACGAATTAATCATTAATAATGTAACCTAAAGTCACTAACATTTTCCCTAATAATATGTTAGACATATTTATATTAATATTCCACAGTATGATTGTAATGTTTCTACTATTAAACTATTGTTGGATGGGGGTCACTTGCACCGACCATCATTTTAACTTTGTTACAGAGGAATTAAAATGAGTAGTATGAAATTCCGCACGGAGGGGCAGAATTAAAATTCAGAAAGAGCCGGACAGCGGTGACGTCAAACACCATCCATTCACTGTCTGACGTCACCGCGGAACGCGCTTGCGATTGGACTATATCAGAGCGCGTCTTTCTGTAGCTACAAGGACCCCACTTCCGCAATACCTCAGGCTAATACATCGCTGTAATACATGATATTTCTTAAAAACAAATTCACAAATAGTTGCTTTCTAGAAATTAAGTGCAAGACGACTGACAAATATATTTAGCTGTCATAACAAATTAGAAGGCGCCAGTTCTGATACATCCTAGAATGAGTTCGGAGTCTCCTCAGTTTGTGATGGACTCGTGCAGACTTCACAGCTCCTCCGTCGTGTCTGTTTAAACGCGTGATGTAGATTTAGCCCACGGTTCTACTTATTTGTTTAATGGGCTTTAAACAACAGATACAATACCACAAAATAAAATAATTACAATTTTCTCTACTTATTATAGTACTATCTTTATCTATTTCCATTATTTGTTTATTTTAAACTGGATTTTGCATCATTTATTTTAATTATGCATATTTAAATTATATTGTTTAATAAAAATGTCGTTATTCACATAATTATAAAAGAGGGATTTAAATTTAGCCTACTCTGTGAAACCCAATAAGTTAAGGTGACTCAAACACTTTTGCAACAAATCATTTGAGTTAAAAAGCCAATCTTAATGAGTACAGTGAACTTTTTTCATTTAGGTTGAAGTAATGAGGTATTAAATTAACTAATTACCTTCAACAGTTGGTTCAAAACTCTTTTCAAATGACTTTCAGTCAATTTTGAGTTAACTACTCTTTCATTTTAGAAAGTTGACTGTTGGATTTTACAGTGCACAGTTATACTTTATTATGCTTTAAACAACAGATACAAGACAACAAAATAAACATTTATAAAGCCAGGATGATTTATAGAAAATTCTTACAATTATAGACAAGTATGTCTTTTAATTAATCAAATAAAACAGAACACAGATGGACTTTTAATTGCCTTTCAGTTGGTACTACGTTGAATAGTACAGAAATGTTTTTAAAGTCTTTATGAAACACTATAAAACTGATTTCTGTTAGAAAGTTTACCGTTACAAATGCAAAACTTAATCAACAAACTAAATAGATTAACAACAAAAACTTATTCACATAATCATAATTTAAATGTCAGAGAAGGACATTTTCAAAATGCTAATTAAATTGAAACACAAATAAGGCAAGGCAAGTTTATTTATATACACTGTAAAACCCAAAAAGTTAAGGTAACTAAAACCGTTTGAGGAAACCGATTGCAACAAACCAATTAAGTTCAAAAACTAATCCTATACTGTGAACTTAATCCATTAGAGTAAAAGAAGCAATTTGAGCACAGTAAAACCCAATAAATAAAGAGAACTCAAACAAACTGAGTTAAGGCAACTCAAAATGGCCGAGGAAACCGATTGCTACAAACCATTTGAGTCTTTGTGAACTTACTCCATTTTAGTTGAAGTAATGATGTATTAAATTAACTCATTACCTTCAACACTAAGTTCAAAACTCTTTTTTTAAGTGAGTAGAATTAACTATCAGTCAATTCTGAGTTAAATACACTCATTTTACAAAAGTTGACGTTTGGGTTTCACAGTGTAGCACATTTCATACAAGTGGCAATTCACAGTGTTTTACATAAACAGAAATAAAAGAGACAAGTATAAGAACATAAGAACAAATAATAACAGAGATTAACATGTGTTAAAACAGGTTTTAAAAGAATGAAAAAGAAAAGAAAGACAATGCTCATTCAGTAAAGGCACTAAACAGATGTGTTTTCAGTCATGTAAGCATCATACCATAGCTTTTTTAAAATAACTACAGTGCCAAACGATGTGGGTACAATTTCCAAGTTTGAAATAGAGCTATTGAATTCAATATCCGTATCAAAATTGACCGAAAAAGCGTTTAACCGGTTAAAATCACGGCTCCACTAATAGCAAACACGAGCGTCGTCGTGATGTCAGTGAATTTTTAGGTGCCCCCTCAGGATGCCTGAGTAGCTGCGCTCGCCAATGAGCGTCTCCACCAGTGTGAATGTCCTTCATTTCTCTGTCTGGCTGCTGAACTTGCCATCACGGATCCCAATTTGGATTTAAAACGGAAAAGGAAAGCACCCCTCCGGTTCGCCGCTGCCGCTCGAATCGCGTGACATTCTGGAGCGTTTAAAACAACTTTAACTGCGCGCGACATGGAGTGCCGAGTGCTGTCTATCCAGAGTCATGTCGTGAGAGGATACGTGGGGAACAAATCTGCATCCTTCCCGTTACAGGTGAGCAGCTTTATGCCCTGCTTATAATTATGTTATGACAGCGAAACGAGAGGTCACATGATCGATATTCCTCATTCACATGCATGTCTTTAAGAGGTTTATCAAGCGAACTTCTCTCATCCCACTGTTACATTCTCACAACTTGGCCTCTTGTTGTAGTGATTGACTTCTAATAACAGTGACTAAACTAACGTTAGAGATTTGAGCAAAAGTGTTGTCAAAACACCGGTATGTTGCTTTGACATGATCCCGCTGCGGTGAGATCAGCGGCTGTCATCATTTCCAGGAGTGACATTGATCATCAGCGGCGCAAAATGATTCATATATCATTGAATCTCGGCTCCTGAAAGATCATTTGGCATGAGGGATCGCGCCTCGTCCAAACTATTAAATCGGGCTCATTAGCTTTTGAATGGCTCCAGCTGTCATGCGAGCGGAAAGCGGCTGTCTTTCCCTTCCCTTCTTCTGCATGCTCGCGCTGTCTTACGTTTTCGAGACTGACGTCACAGCCGGGAGACTCAATTCCAGCAGAAATCGTGACACATTTTTCTCTCTCTCACCTTCCAGTCTCGTATTAATCAATCCCACGCTCGAGTAAAACACCGCATTAGTAACATGTCCTCAATTTAAATTCGTCGTGTGGTTCTTTGACAGAAAGCTTCATGTTTTGGATTTGGGGTCCAAGTCTGAGTGTTTAAATCACTGATAGTGCTGGTGACTGAGGTGAAGTTGGTTTTGTATTGGCACATTCTGGGTTTCTCCTTATAATACTGTTTCACAAAAGTATTCTTTGGGCGACATGGTGGCATATTGGTTAGCACTGTTTCTTTACAGCAAGAAGGTCGCTGGTTCGAGTCCTGGCTGGGCCAGTTGGCATTTCTTTGTGGAGTTTGCTTGTTCTCCACGTGCTCGCATGGGTTTCCTCTAGGTGCTCTGGTAAGACATGCACTATAAGTCAGTTGAATAAACCGTATTGAATTGAATATAGAATATAGGTGAATTGAATATAGGTGTATTGAATATAGAATATAGGTGAATTGAATAAACCGTATTGAATTGAATATAGAATATAGGTGAATTGATTATAGGAGAATTGAATAAACCATATTACATTGAATGTAGCATATAGGTGAATGAAATATAGGTGAACTGAATAAAGGTGAATTGAATAAACCTTATTGAAAATAGGTGAATTGAATATAGGTGAACTGAATAAACCGTATTGAACTGAATAAAGAATATAGGTGAGTTGAAAAAAACATATTAAATTGAATGTAGAATATAGGTGAATTTAATATAGGTGAATTGAAGAAATCGTATTGAATTGAATATAGAATATCGGTGAACTGAATATAGGTGAACTGAATAAACCATATTAAACTGAATACAGAATATAGGTGAATTGAATATAGGTGAATTGAATACAGGTAAATTGAATATAGAATATAGGTGAATTGAATAAACTGTGTTGAATTGAATATAGAATATAGGTGAACTGAATATAGGTGAATTGAATAAACCGTATTAAATTGAATGTAGAATAGTGATGAATTGAATAAACCATATTGAATTCAATATAAAATATAGGTGGACTGAATATAGGTGAATTGAATATAGGTGGACTGAATATAGGTGAATTGAATATAGGTGGACTGAATATAGGTGAATTGAATATAGGTGGACTGAATATAGGTGAACTGAATATAGATGAATTGAATAAATCATATTGAATTGAATATAAAATATAGGTGAACTGAATATAGATGAATTGAATAAACCATATTGAATTGAATATAAAATATAGGTGAACTGAATATAGGTGAATTGAATAAACCGTATTAAATTGAATGTAGAATAGTGATGAATTGAATAAACCATATTGAATTGAATATAAAATATAGGTGAACTGAATATAGGTGAATTTAATAAACCGTATTAAATTGAATGTAGAATAGTGATGAATTGAATAAACCATATTGAATTCAATATAAAATATAGGTGGACTGAATATAGGTGAATTGAATATAGGTGGACTGAATATAGGTGAATTGAATATATGTGGACTGAATATAGGTGAACTGAATATAGATGAATTGAATAAACCATATTGAATTGAATATAAAATATAGGTGAACTGAATATAGATGAATTGAATAAACCATATTGAATTGAATATAAAATATAGGTGAACTGAATATAGGTGAATTGAATAAACCATATTGAATTCAATATAAAATATAGGTGGACTGAATATAGGTGAATTGAATATAGGTGGACTGAATATAGGTGAATTGAATATATGTGGACTGAATATAGGTGAACTGAATATAGATGAATTGAATAAACCATATTGAATTGAATATAAAATATAGGTGGACTGAATATAGGTGAATTGAATAAACCGTGTTAAATTGAATATAGAAAATAGGTGAATTGAATATAGAATAAAGGTGAATTGAATAAACCGTATTGAATTGAATATAGAATATAGGTGAATTGATTATACTGTAGGTGAACTGAATATAAGTGAATTGAATAAAGGTGAATTGAATAAACCGTATTGAATTGAATAGGTCGTAGTGTATGTGTGTGAATGAGAGTGTATGGGTATTTTCCAGTACTAGGTTGGGCATCCGCTGTGTAAAACATATGTTGGATAAGTTGTTGGTTCATTCTGCTGTGGCAACCCCTGATAAATAAAGGGACTAAGCCAAAGGAAAATGAATGAACAATCTTTGCAAATTCTAAATAGGGAAATCAAATCATATTAGCAGCCAATGACTATTAAAGTACAACATTGTTCACAGTCAATAGTGCTAATGTTGTTTTGAAGTCATACTTATGCAATTTCAGATCGGATATTCAAAGTATCATGTTTTAAATTTTCGCTGTTCAAAAAAAATGAATGAATGTGCAAATATAAACCAATTTTACCCCAATCTGCTAGTGATACTACAAATAAGTGAAATGAACCTTTTGTTTTACCCTTCAGATTCTTTCAGTGTGTTCCTGTGACTTTCTTGTCTCACATTTTTGAGCTCTTTATTTGTGTGATCGTTTAGCTTAGCTCTCAAACTCGATTCCTGGGTGGCCACAGCTCTGCACAGTTTTGCTCCAACCCTAATCAAACGCAGCTGATCAAACTAATCAAAGATTACAAAAGACTACTAATTGGAGGTGGTTAGAGCTAAACTGTGCAGAGCTGTGGCCCTCCAGGAATAGAGTTAGAGACCATTTAGCAAGGAATATTTTTTAATAAAAAGCATACCTAAAACATTTAACCTTTAGCTGTGGATTAAACCTAGACGGATAAAGGTTAAATGACACAATTCTTCTGGAATGTTGACAAACTGACACAAAACTATTGGATTGTTGATAAAATGAGAACACAAATACTTCTAAAAGTGCAAGTATACTTTTAAAATACTAGAGCTCAACAGTTTGCCTCTGGAAGTAAAATCCTCATCGTAAAAATGTTTTGTATATAAAATGTCAATTTAATTATATAATTCATGTTTTCTATCTATCTGTCTGTCTATCTATCTATCTATCTATCTATCTATCTATCTATCTATCTATCTATCTATCTATCTATCTATCTATCTATCTATCTATCTATCTATCTGTCTATCTGTCTGTCTGTCTGTCTGTCTGTCGATCCATATCTATATGTACTTTTTTGCATTTTATCTACTGTATTGGAGATCTAGAACTCTGGCATTTGTTAATCTATTAATATGATTATTTATTTTTTACTCACATTTAGCACAGATTGAAATTGGCTGGACATGCAAAAACACAAAATCTTTACGAAATATGGTTTTGTGTTGAAAAGATGCACCAAAATCATATTTCATGTAAACACAGCCTAAGACTTTTTAATTCCATATGGAAAAATACTTTCAGAAGTTGAAAAAATGGGTGCTATTACATAAATGATTTTCACATTCATATTACATTCAGATCAGGGGCGCCACTAGACCCCATTTACTGATGCACACATGCCCCAGTAAATATTACCAGTGCCCTAGAAAATGCTTTGATATATGATTTTCTTTATATACAAGTTTATTTATTAAGTGTGGTGATTCAAGAACAAAGATGTTATTCTCTATGTGCAACCAAACCAATGCTGGCAAAAACAATGTAGTTTAATCAAAAAAATAAATGAAAGTTATGCAAGTGCTCAGAAAAATAATTTTTCTTAACATCCCCGATCCTGCTTGTCACGCAACTCCAACTCCCGGTGTGTTGCAAAATCTGCAAAACTAAAGTTTAAATAATATGATGCTGATATTATTTTGACTTAGCATGGCTACTGATTTTTTTTGTATGAAGCAGAAAGGAGGGATGCTGAGTCAAGGAGATATGAGTTAATAAACCTAATTCTCTGCCATGTGTCAAGTCTAAGACAACATACTGTATAATTTAATAAAACATCTTTTTGTATTCTATAGACTTTTCTAGAGTATTTCATTCTAATGAAATTAATTTTCATGCAAAAGATTTCTTAATTATCTTATTATCACTCCAATTGTGTGTAGATTGTTTTCCAGTTACATTTATGATTAGTTTGTTATTTTATTTAGAATAATAATTGTAATATAATAATAACAGTAATACTTTTATTTATAATCATTTTATTTATTTTTTATTATATATATATATATATATATATATATATATATATATATATATATATATATATATATATATATAAATGATTATAAATAAAAGTATTAATGTTGTTATTATTATATTACAATATAATAAAAACAGTATGTATATATATATATATATATATATATATATATATATATATATATATATATATATATATATATATATATATATATATATATATATAATTTATTTATTTATTAATTTAATTGAAAAAAAAATTTCAATAGAGCTTTTTGTAGCAATTCCCCTGCTTCAGATTCTTTCAGTATTTTCCTGTGACATATTAACCAGCTCCCAGTAGGCAGTATTATTAAAACTTCTCTGACTCCTTTTCATTAGGCAGCACCTTCTGATCTCACTAAAGAGGCCAAATAATGTTTCATTTTTCGTTTTATTTATCGTGTAAGACATATGAATGTACATGGATTTGCCATCAAAAGTAATAGTTTTCAATCAAAGGGATTGATAGTTTCTAACAGACAACACTAATCCAGAACTGGCTAAAAATAGCATCAAAGCTAAATAAAGCAATAGCAAAAAAAAAAAAAAAAGAAGCAAAAATAGCATGTTCTCTTTAGAAATGTGATTGTGATTATTTACTCAGGAAATGGATAGAAGTTGAGTTGACATGGGTTAATAATAATAATTCTTAATAATGTCAATAATCATGCGTTTTGTGTAGGAGTATTTGTTTATGTAACCATTACAGAACCTACACTCTCAGAAACAAAGATATGAGAGCTGTCACTGGGGTGGAACCTTTTCAAAAGTTGCATATTTGTACTTAAAGGGTCCATATTGGTTCCTCAAAGGTATATATTAGTACCTAAAGTTTTCAAGAGGTCCAGTTTTATACAGTTTAGGTACAGTATGTACTCTTGAGTTATTCATAAATATACCTTATTGTTTTTCTTTTGAAAAGTTGCCACCCCACTGACAGCTCTTGTGCCTTTATTTCTGAGAGTGTAGGGTTAATTGCATATGGATTATTTTATGCATTTATTACTATTTTCGTAATAAAATGTGTTTGTTTGTCAGGTCATGGGGTTTGAGGTGGACTCGATCAACTCTGTACAGTTCTCCAACCATACAGGTAGGCTGACACAATCTTTCTGTTCATTACGGTCAAACAATGGCATTCGTAAGCATTTGTACTGTAGATCAAGCATTTGTGTGCATTCAGTGTTTTGTGGAATCTTATCATTTGTTATGATGTAACACATGGTTTGATGAGTAGAACAGTATGATGTCATAATTAGGGCCAGATGGAATCCTTTTTGCATGTTCTTTAACATTAAACACTGGAAATACTGTATGTCAAGGGGGTTTTAACATTGTGTAGTCAAGAGTTTAAATAATCTGCAAAGTTTATGTCAAACAATACAACATTTTAGCTAATGTTTCTCAAATCTGCTGTTATTCTGTCATTTTCTTCAGTGAAATAAGTTACAAACACTTCAGCGTGTGCTTGCTTCTCAAATTTCAGACATTTCATTCTGCATTCTGAGTTTATATTTCATAACTGCCTGTTAAAAACTCTCACAGTTCACTTTCTTCACTTTTTTTCAGAATTGTGTCTTTATTATAAACTAGTTACTTATATAGTTACAACAAGTTATATAAAGAATTTAGACTTTTTCGAGTTTCTATCCTGCATTTAGGTTTGTGAAAAAAAGTCTGAATTATGAGAAGTTACCCTTTCTTTCTTTCCCGTAGTATGCAAAAAAGGCTGTTTCAAACATTTGTGCATGTGAAGTAAATATTTATTTTTTTAACTTATTTTTATTAGAGAATACAACATTGTATGGAGTACAATATAGTGTAACAGTTTTTTTGCATGTTACACCATCAATTTCTATCTACCAAAATGGTTGTAAATACATGTACTGAACAAAAAGCATTCGCGGGACATAAAAAAAGAGGGAACAATTTTTTTCTAAAACAACAATTAGAATAATTATTATATAAAGAAATATATAAAGTAAAGAAAGGAAGAAAAAAGTTGCCTTGTTCTCCAATACTTCACAGAGTTCAGTATGGCTCATTATTAAGAATTAGAGGCATGACAGGAGACCATCTCTTTAGGAAAATTGTTTTTTTAAATCGTAATGCATATGTTATTTGTTCCATTTGTTTCAACACTTTTTGAATCCAAGCATTATATGATGTGAAGTTAATATTTTAAGTTAACCTGACTAAACAGTTCCTCTGACTGATTATTCAATGAACGTGATTCAAAATTTATTGCATAATATATTAGGTTCGTAACACTTGACAAATAAACAGTAAAGAAAAACTCCCTTCAGTTTCCAGTGGTTTGTAAATTTCCTGTGTTTGCATGAAACATTAAGAGGCACCAGAGACTCAAATTTCTGGTGTTATTTTATTGTAAGTTTATGAGTTTTGAGCAGTTATCTCTTGTACCGTGCACCCAAATTAATTTTCACATTCAGCACTCTGTAGTACTCCTCGACCTATTTTCTACTTTCAAACACGAGATGCTTCATTAAAATGATTAAAGCGTATATTGCATTCAAATGCTGTGATGGTTCATTCTGACTGTGAGGGAGAATATAAGTGCAGATAGTGAGCTGTCCAAACAGGCCAAGCACTGATCCCAGTACTTTCTCTTGTTTGGATAGTGCACTTCAGATCTGGGGTCCGTTCTTCGTACGTGGATTACTCAATTAGCTGGATTTGGATATTGACGATTTGACACGATCCAGGATCGTTTCGTTCTTCAAAGCTGATCCGAGAGTTGTTGTCATAGCAACAGTTCTGCTAGGTCAAACCTGATCGCGAGCAGGTTTAATTCATATAAACAGGATTAGATCGGCTCAGTTTAAGCAAATATAATACAGAAAGTATGTACTGAATTCTGATATTTTCTTACAGTAGTAGTTATATACACTTGGGAAAATGGTACATATTTTTAACTATATATATAAAGTTATAGTCATTAATAAAATAAATAAAGTTATACATATTAATAAAACTTATGCAATCTGCACCCTCGAAATGAAAGTACAAAGACTGCCACCTGGTGGTGCGAAGAGAAAACTTATTGACATGAACTTTTTAGATCGCTTTAGTACAAATTGTGTATAATAGAAATGCACAATATGTTAATTTTTTTAAAGCAATAATACATTTATGCAGTCATAAACATGTTTTGATAGTTAATATGCCATGGATTTGATGCTTCACAAAAGTTGCAGACGCCTTTACCAATATCAAAATGCTTTTGTAAACAACCAGTTATTCTTTACACCGATTAAAAAAACAACTACTATAATAAAGAAAATCTTTTCTAAATGTAGAACTAAATACATTGATTTGCATTGAAATACATGATGAAGTGTAAAGCCTGCAGCTCACAACAAATGTGGAAGGTTATTGCGTGTCATATTTAACAAACGGTTTGCTGCTAATTTGATGTAATTTTGCTCACATGGATAATTGAATATTAATCAGATGATGTCATTACGCTGCTGTGCCGTCAGCCAATCGTTGCATTGCTGATCATGATTTCGAGGATCGATAGATCTGTCCTTCGCAACACACGCAGCGATCTCAGATCAGTTTATCCAGACATTCTAATCTGATTCGCGAACTTGTTTGAAGAACCAAATTAGCGAGAGATCAGTTATCAAGATTAAAAGATCCAGGATCTGCCAAATCATCTTAGATCATTTAAGCGAGGTACGAAGAACGGACCCCTGGTGGGTCCTATTATTATTGTTGCTTGCAAGAGGACATTGCTTTTAGTCACCTGCTTATAAACACACTGTTCCTGCTGATCTCTTTATTTAGTTTTTTAGCCTCCCTCATGCTGTTCTGCCAGGTACTGTCCTTCTAATTTAAAACATAAAATTACTTTTTTTGGTATTTAGAGATTGTGAAAAGGTTGATGCAATTCAACATGACTTTTCTACAGTAAATCTCCTCAAGCAACTTTTCTTATGAATCACTCTTTCGAATTGAACTTTTCTTTTACAATAAAAGCAGTGAAATTAATCTAAATGGTTTTAAACATTATACAATTAATTAAAGTCTGTGGTCAGATTAAATAGATGGCACTATTTATACATTTTAAATGGCACAGAATTGTGGATAAGTATATGAATTTGGACACAACTACAGGCTTGCATAAGAAGAGGAGTTAAAGAGGGGCTACATTTTCTTAAATTAAATTAAAATGCGTTTGGTGTAAGTTGTCATGTGAATTTGTTGGATAGGAGTAGGACGCAATTAGCAATTTACAATTTACAATATGCCCTATTTTAGGGGCGGCACGGTGGCGCAGTGGGTAGCACGATCGCCTCACAGCAAGTAGGTCGCTGGTTCAAGCCCCAGCTGGGTCAGTTGGCGTTTCTGTGCTAAGTTTGCATGTTGTCCCCTTGTTTGCATGGGTTTCCTTTGGGTTCTTTGGTTTTCCAAACAGTCTAAAGACATGTGCTATAGGTTGAGACAAGTTGGTGGTTCATTGCGCTGTGGCGACTCCAGATTAAAAAAGGGACTAAACCAAAATGAAAATGAATATGTCCTATTTTAGCTAAACTTGTCACATGGTATATTAGCATGCAGGAAAGCAAGGAATTGTAGAGCATAGGTTTCAAACTCGATACCTGGAGGGCCACAGCTCTGCACTGTTTTGCTCCAACCATAATTGAACACAGCTGATCAAACTAATCAAGGTGTTCAAGACTAATAGAGAGTATTAAGCAGGTGTGAGTTGGAGGTTGGAGCTAAACTCTACAGAGTTGTGGCCCTTTAGGAATTGAGTTTGAGATTATTAATGTAAAGGATGTGGCTGGGATATGGAAGTTGGAAACTAGAGCTGCACGATACTGGGAAAATTTAGGATTATGGGAATAGGAATATAACATTTCCCAAGTGAAAGGCTATTTTTAAAATGGTTTATATGTTTAATAATCATACTAAAATAAGCAGGTAATATATATTTTTCTTATCCATATGATTTTAATTCAGGCAACAACAGAAAAAAAAATGTCAAGCTGCAGACACTGATGCTGATGATACATTTTAATCAAGGTTGCTTGGCAAATTTAATTTAGGAAATGATTCCATAAATGGGCAACCAGGTGAGACACAGGGCAATGGGTTACAGATTCAATATTGTTGGCTGTTGTTAATGGAATAGTAGCCAAGCAACTCTGTGAAATTGGCGCTAACATTGCTCAAAAAGTTGCCGTGTGTATCATCAGCATTAGACTATGAATGCCTGAAAACCCCGACAGTCTTGTTTGCTGTTGACATTTTTCTTGCTTCTCTCAACAATTTTACGCCACTTGTATTTATTTCAGCTCTGTTCTGAGGCGTTAGGTTAATTTTTGGGTCAGCCTAGCCAGCAGCTTAAAAGCACGTACTGGGAAGGTGGGTAAAAAAAAGATTGTAAGCCATTTGATTGGTCAAATTTGGATACAAACAAACCTATGCATGCAATACCTGCACATATAGAAATAAATAACATTTTTCACAGATACAGATAATGCATTTACAATAATCTCCATGACATTCATTCATTCATTTTCTTGTCGGCTTAGTCCCTTTATTAATCCGGGGTCGCCACAGCGGAATGAACCACCAACTTATCCAGCAAGTTTTTACGCAGCGAATGCCCTTCCAGCCGCAACCCATTCACACACACACACACACTCATACTCTACGGACAATTTAGCCTGCCTGTACTGCATGTCTTTGAACTGTGGGGGAAACTGGAGCACCCGGAGGAAACCTACGCGAAGGCAGGGAGAACATGCAAACTCCACACAGAAACGCCAACTGAGCCGAGGTTCGGACCAGCGACCCAGCGACCTTCTTGCTGTGAGGCGAACGTGCTACCCACTGCACCACTGCCTCGCCTATCTCCATAACAATCATGTTAAAATGTATTGTGCAGTCATATCAGAAACAATTATTTATTTATTTATTTATTTTTATATTTAATCATACTCTGTGTGTTTTGGAACAACACCGAAAAATATGAATAGCTTATTTACAGCGGGGAAAATAAGTACTGAACACATCACCTTTTTCTCAGAAAACATATTTCTAAAGGTGCTGTTGACT